GGGGGGTTCCAGGTCCAGGGGGAAAACCTATTCCAAAAAAAAAAAAAAATGATTCAGCTGGTAAAGCACTCACCATCTAAGCCTGACCACCATCAGAGTGTGACCCCCAGAGCCCATATAAAGGTCTAAGGAAATGATTCCACAAAGCTGTCCTCTGACCTCATGTGCAGTGTGGCATGTGTGCACTCACACACACACACACACACACACACACACACACAAAGATGGAGAGCCATCAAAGAGTCTACCTTGGGCCTCACCAGCTTGCACATACATGCATATCTCTACACTAACACGTACATACACCATAAACACATACACTAGAAAAATTGTTTCTAAAGATACAGAAAAGTTCAAACAAGGTTCCAAAGAAGACTATATCAGACTATATCCCTAAATCTGTTTAATGATCAAAATTTCTGAGATCAGCATTAAACAGTTGCTCTAAACTTTCTGTAAAAGGGGCTGGAGAGATGGTTCAATGGTTAAGAGTACTTGCTGCTCTTGCAGTTCCCAGCACCCATCAGGTAGCTTACAACCTCCTATAGCTTCAGCTCCAGGAGATCTGAGGCCCTCTTCAGGCCTCTGCAGGTATCTGGCCATACAACACATGAAACAAAGCTTAAAAATATATTTTTCTAGTGAAGTGAAAAAAAAAGGTTGAGAATATAGCTAAGTGGTAGAATACTTACCCAACGTACACAAGATCCTGAATTCAACCCCCAGCATAAGAAAGAAAAGTAGCAAAGAGAAAGAGGGATAAGAGAAAGGGAGGGGAGGGGGAAAGGAAGAAGAAAGGGATCAACAGCAGAGCTAGAGAGCTGGTCCTAATTTTATAGTGAAATCTTGCCTCTAAGAAGGGACTCTCAAGCTGGGGTGGTACACCATAGCTTTAATTCCAGCAGAAACAGAGGCAGAGGCAAAGGTGGGCAAATCTCTAGTTCAAGGATAGCCTGGTCAACCTAGTTGAGTTCAGACTAGTCAGGACATATTATATAGTGAGAGCCTGTCTCAAAAACCAAACCAAACCAAAACCAATCCCACTGCCAGCAGCTAGGTGTGGCAGCACACTTGTGTAATCATAGCTCTCAGGAGGCGGAAGCAGGTGGCCTGGGATATATAGCAAAACTGTCACAAAACATACAAAGAAACAAAACAACTTTCCTACTCTAAGAACCAAGTTTTCCTATCATTAAAATGTAGTTAGCAATTATATTTACCTCTTCCCATTCCTCCCCTCCATTAGCTGAGGTGCCCTGTATGATACAGGTGCTTCTACAAAACTGATTTAACCCGGAAAATCCTGCCCCATAATTCCAAAACCAGTAAGTATCACGCAGCATTTAAGAATTGCAAATATATTTATTACAATTTACAGATTAGTTAACAATTATATACAAATAGAATTTTAACTATAAAATCCCAACTAGTTATATTTAAATTACTGGATCTGAAGGAGTCAATTCAGAAATCTTCTAGTCCCCTAACTTCACCTTCCTTAAATTATAAAAAAATAAAATCTGATAGTTTTGATTTCAAGTTATAGATAAAGAATTATCACATTTCATCACTCAGAAATGGAAAATTTACCTGTCTGTACAAGTCTTTCATGTGCTACACTGATCCTTAAAGCACCATTAGAGGACTGGGATGAGTAAAAGGTTCAGCTGAGCACTTCCTTTCACCAAGGCCTTTTCCTTTGGAGGGAGCATTTGACATCTAGGACTAGGATGAAAATGACAATTTCCTTTCTCATTCAGTCAGTGTTTAAAGATCCTTCTGTCCACCATCTGATCGCTTTTAAAGGAAGGCAGCATATTTTTCAACCAGGCTTTTACTCATGTGAAGTGAGGGTGGAATCTCAGGTAACAATTTTCAAAACACAATGACTGTACAGATGTTTCATTACTTTCAGATACACACAGGTGCTGGATCCCAGAAACTCAAACAACCTAGTGTCTGCAATTAATCATTATGCTTCAGTCCGGTTTTAAAAGAATGTCTATGTATTGTCACAAATCTTGTCTTCCTAGGAAAATGATGCCTGCTTTTCAAATGACACTGCTTCTAACCAGCCTGTTCCCATGGCACTCTGCAAATGCACTCCGTGATTACCTAAAGTGGAGGTGCACAAAATGCACAGAATGTTCTGTGAAAGTAAGTCCATCTTGTATGGTGCTGCACTCTCAGTGTGTGAATGAACATATATTAACACTGGAGGCAGATTTTAGAGCAAACCAGATGGATTTTAAACTGAGGTAGTTACCCTGCAAGCTCTTCTGAGAAAATTCACCCCACACTGAATTAAGTGGTCATCTATTTGATCCATGTTTCTCCACTATCCAACAGAAGGCACACAGAGTTAGGAACTGACAGATAAAGAGGTGGTTACATTACCTCAACCTGACATATGCACACCAGGTAAAGCTAACTAAAAAAGCATACCCATTCCCAATTAATGCAGACTTCAATTCAAATGTAAACTCTGGGCTCAAGACACTCAAGACTTTCTAGGTGTTATGCCTCAAGTTTCCACTTTCCTGACAGTGGACCATCCTACTGCTTCTCTCATCATTAAAATACAATAAACCTGGACATTGACTGAAGTTTCTATTTTACGTTTCACACAACTGCACAGTTCCAAGTTTACAGTGTTACCACAAGTTTTAAAAGTGACAGTGCTGAGGCATGGTATTAATAACACTGGTTTTCTGTTAAGAGTATATAAAACAAAACTGAATTTCTGAGATGTCTCCCATCTCCCTCAAAAGAAAGTTCTAGGCTTTTAAGTTTAAAAAATAAACACCTATGATGCAATTATTACTTTCTAGAGAGTTTTACAATTTCTACCTATTGAAAGACACAAAGAGCCACTGGGAACTACAACATAGAAACCTTTCCAAAGGACAGTTTGCACAGAAATCAAATATATTAGATATTAAACTTTGGCAGGCCAGCTGGCCCTGGTGGTGCATGCCTATAATCCTAGCCCTTGGGAAGCAGGAGCAGAAGGCTCACCAAGTCTGCAAGATCAGTTTAGTCTGGATAGCAAAGTACTAGGTCGGCAATGATTTAAAGGGAAAAAAAAAAAAAGCGATACCATATTTAAGTAGAACTTGAATAGAAAAAAAATCTGGGCGTGGTAGTGGCACACACACTTGTGGTACCAGCAAGAGGAACGAAGCACAAAGTTATCCTTGGCTAAGTAGTGAGCTTAAGTCCAGCTATGGCCAAGAGACTATGCCTTAAAAAAAAAGGAATCCCACCACACACTTTCAGATCATTATTTAAAGAAAAACAAGTATCACAATAACGTCCTTTAAGTTGATAACATATACAACATAATTTTCAGCCTTAAGGTAGATAGGTCAAATCAATGAAATAAATATAGCCAAGCACAGTGACTCATGCCTGTAATCCTATCACTGAGGAAGTTGAAGCAGGATCGCCATAAGCTCAAGGCCAAAGTGAGAACCTATCTCACTATCCCTCATACATACATATATATATAATATACATATATATGTACACAGATACATACATATATACAGAAAAACATAAATGCTCATTAATTTCAGAATATAAGGGGGAAAAGCACATAAGAGCCCAAAGATTTTAAATAAGTATGCATAATTTAAATTAGAACTAAATATGGGATGTAAGCCCTATAAATATTGTTTCCCAGGAAAATATTTATTTTTATTTAGAGCATGGGAATTGAAGATAGGGCCTTGCACACACTAGGCAACTTCACGCTACTACTGAGCTATATTCCCAGCCCTTCTTTTCTTCATTTTCATTTTGAGATAAGATCTTGCTAAACTATTTATGCTGGCCTTGAACTCACTATGTACCCTAGGCAAACTGAACTTTCTATCTTCCTGCCTCAGTCTCCAAAGTAACTACAATTATAGGTCTGTATCATCAGGCATAGAAAAAAAAAAGTTTTGAAAAGCACAAAATTATTATTTAAAAGGTCCCCTTTTCACTTCAAGCACGCAAAGGATGCTTAAAAACACATCTAGCTGAGTGTGGAGTCAAATACCTATAAATCCCAGGAGGCAGAGGCTAGAAAATCATCACAAATTCAAGGCTGGCCTGGTCCACATAGCCAGCCCTAGGCTAACCAGGAGTACATACATATCATGACAGATCTCAAACAAACAAAAACCACATCCAACTAAGAGAGGGGATGAAAGATCAGAGATCCTTCACTGTCAAGAACTGGCTCACAAAACCCACATCCAAGAAAGAGAGGATTAAATCAGAGATCCTTCAATGTCAGAGTTGGCTTGAAACCTTGGTGCTTTCAATGATAAACGTCACCAAAAAAAAAAAAAAACCAAAAAACCTGCACCACTAGAGAAAAGTTGCTTCTTTTAAAAAAATGTTAAAGGGCAGCTGCCAATATCTCTCTTTAAAAGAAACCTCTCCAGTAAGAGATAGTGTTTGCTAGGCCTACAGGCTGTTCACACATCTTAACACTGCTGGAAAACAGTGTAAGTCCTTCGAAGCATGTTTCTGGAGTCTATTAAACATTCTTTCTCTGTGCTCAAATGTTAAGCAATATCCAATAGCATCTTCTGTTTCTTGAATTCGCTTCTGGAACCTGCATCCATCCCTTGCAAATTCTTCCCATGGTCCTTTGCGATCCTCATCACCACTTATATAATACTCAGTAACTTCTTCAAGGAAGGTTACCTATAACGACAAAGACTAATGTTAATAATTCTAGGATCTTAACATTAAAACTGAGGTAAACAAGAGTCTTTTGTTTCAAAGTACATGTGAAGTTTTAAAAAAAGCTCTAAGCAGATAGAACGTGGATAAAACAACTTCAATAAATGTTATGTACCTTTCATACATATACAAACAATTTCCCCCAAACCCCACTTATTTTATGATATTGATAAAATGAATCCAGAGATGGGAACTGAAATATTCCTATTATTAATCCTTGCTATTCTTTAATCTTTAAAGAAATAGTTACGGGTTAGAGAGATGGCTCAGCAGTTAAGAGTATTGACTGCTCTTGCAGAGGACCCAGGTTCAATTCCCAACACCCACATGGTGGCTAACAACCCTCCCGTAACTCCAGTTCCAGGGGATCCGAAGCCTTCTTCTGACTCCGTGGGCATTTTGGGACATGGGTGCATTTACACACATGCAGGCAATATACTCATACACATAAAATAAAAATAAATATTTTAAAGAAATACAGTTATGCAGTATTCTTTCCCCCAAATGAAAAATGTATTTCAGAGAGACAGCACTACAACCCTGGAAATGCACTCCTCAATGCACTCAAGAGGCTGAGGCAGGACACCCAGGAGTTTGAAGCCAGACTGGGCCACGTGAGCTCTTGTCTCAAAAAAAGATATCAAGCTCCAAAAGTAATAACTTGCTTTAAAGCATGTTTAATAGTTACATCAGCTAATCCCACTGAGGATAACTGCTTTCCTTCCCTTTACATCAGGCCAAGGAATGCCCCCTGAGGACAATTAGCAGGCATGTAACAGCTTACTAGATATTGCATTCTAGTGGTTTCTCATTCATATGTCACTAAAATAAATAAAAACAAGCCCTTAAGTAGTGTATACCATATGCCAAGCTTTTTCCAAAGAACTTTTCTCATATGATCCTCATCAACCCTATGAGGTACCGACTGCCACTACTATCACCACTGTACAGACAAGTCAGAGGCTAAGAGACAAGTCCAGTGCCCCAGCATCTAAGGGGTGTGATCAGGATTCAGTCTATCTGGCTCTACAATCTGCTCTTTTGCCAGGACACAAAGTATTTTAAACTCCAAGATCTGAAGGCCTCATTCTAAGAATTGGACACTACTCATTATTCCTGTCTAATTAGAGGGCAGGCAGCCTAAGGCTTTCAAATACCTATCATATTTAAAGTGTAACCTTTGTAAGTTTTGCTTCTACTTCATAATTGGTAGTCTCAAGCTAACCAGACATGAGATTGGCCTTAGCTATTGAAAAGCATGGAAATGAAGCATTTAAATCTTGCAGTACCTGAGCTGGAGATGTAGCTAGCTCTGTGATAGGGTGCACATTTAGCCTGTCCTGGATGCAATCCCCAGCACCACACCAGAAAAACAGTAATAAACCCTGTAATATTTGCACGAGCTACTAGTATTATTCCCATCAGATAGATGTGGATCAAGTACATGACAGTGAAGCAATCGCTCAGGTCTAGATGCCTCCCCAAATCTCAGTCCTAACTCCTCAGGAGCAGAGAAAATAGGTGAGGTGCCAAATGCTCAGGACATTGCCCACTTTGTTTCTTGCTTATTCATTCTAAATAGAGGGTAATGAGGGCTGGAGATGTGGTGGAGCCCTTCCTTGTTCAGCAAGTCTGGCCTCAACCCCCAGTATAAGGAGGGGGTAAGGAAGGGGGGGGGCTCTTTCATCCTATCATTCTGAAATGTGAAATAAAATTTTAATTTTAGTATGACTTATCATGCCTCTATAGGCAAGACATATGGTTACTATCATAGCTGGGCGTGGTGGTGCACGCCTTTAATCTCAGCGCTCACAAGGCAGAGGCAGGTGGATCCCTGTGAGTTTGAGGCCAGCCTGGTCTACATAGTGAGTTCCAGGCCAGCAGGGGCTACTGGGAGACTCTGTCTCAAAATGACCCCCCCCCAAAAAATATTACTATCATTTAGATATTTTCTACCGTAAGAACAGTTTCATAGTAAACTGTACCTTTGGAACCAATGGCTTACAGCCTGAGGATGATGCCTTTGAGAGCCCTTGAGTCATGACAGCCTTTCCAGTTTTTCCCCCGATGCTGCAAGATCCCAGGTCAATGGTAACTTACCCATCGCTTTCTCTTTCTAGATGAAGGTATAGGAAACTAAAGAAACTCCCTCTACAGTAAAAAACTTCCTTGTGTTCCTTGTGTCTGGGGAATATTCTCAGTAACTTCAGCTGAATAAACCATAGGAGAAATAAAGTAATTCAAAAGACTCCCAAAATAAAGTAAATCTGACAATATAATGAGAGAGTAAAGAGCCCCGTGAGGTTTTCCAACTAGCCTGGAACTGGGCCTGCCTCATGCTGCACACTAGTAGTTCCAGCACTTGGAGGAGTGCTGAGACTTGAGGCCAGCCTGGACTATGTAATGAGTTCAAGGCTAGCCTTGGTCACAAAGTGAGATCCTGTCACAGAAAAATAAAACTAACCCAAGAACAGGAACTGCTTAAACCAAGTAGCCAGCACTGTTTACAACCTGGTCTTTGGTAACTAGTAATTCATTCTTTTGCAATGGCATGGTGTGGCAGCTCACAGCTCCTTGCACCCAGGAGGCAGAGGTAGGTAGATCTTTAGGAGTTCCAGACCAGCCAGGGCTAGTGAGACCCTGTCTTAAAAAAAAAAAAAAAAAAAAAAAAAAAGACAATACCATTTCTTGTGTAATTGTGAAAGGTTTGATGCAGAAGACAGGGTCTCACCCTATAGAGACATCCTGACAACTCACTATGTGGCCCAGGCTGCCCAGAACTAGCAGCAATCCTCTTGCCTCCCAAATGCTAGAATTACAGGTATGAACCACCACAATCAACTCCTTCAGAACAAATCACATAAACCTGGCTTACTATTTTATATTATTAATCCTTTGGGTTCTAATGGACAGGAATAAAAAGTTCTGAGAAAATAAAATATGAAGGTTTCGCGAACAAAACACCACATGTCAAACCATTTCAGGACATTATGGCTATGATAGTTTCACCAACCTAAATGAAAATGACCCCTCCCTAACAGCTACATTGGCACCATCCTTTCAGATAGGAATCCGTCCTATGGGGAGGAAGGGCCATTCCAATAGTTCTCCCTGCAAGCATGCGGGCTTTGAGGCCTTCCTCAAAAACATACACACAACCGTGGGGGTGTGGTGGCCGATGCCTTCGGAGGCAGCAGGCAGATCTGTGAGTTCAAGGCCAGCTAGGGCTATAAGGAGACCCTATTTCAAACTCAAAAAGACCAAACAAAAAACTATATATATGTATATATGTGTACACACACGCGCACACACACACACACACAAAACCACGCCTCCAAAAGAGAAGTCATGCTGCCACACGTAACCAAATCAAAACAGAGCAAATTGTCAGTCATATAAAAGAAACAAACCTTTTTTCTCTTGATATGCTTGTCTCTTTCTCCAGAAAGAAACTCACTCGGCCCACAGTCTGGACATCCATTTTCTGGGCTCCCAAATAGCTGCACCTTACGAGAAAATAAGGTATGACACTGGGAAAAGGCCACCGGGGCCTCGGCCGTTGCCTTTGAGTCATGACAGCCTTTCCAGTTTTTCCCTGATGTTTGAAAAGGAGCCTTGAAATTTAAAAGGTTGTAGGGGTCATCGGAATTACAGAAAGAGTTCCACAGTCTGAGATTCTCCGCTTCATCTGCACTGGATGCCCAGTCATCTTCCTCCCCAGAACTGTCAGGGGTCTCTGGAAGGATTCCAGCCTGGGGAGAACGCCCTAGAACACAGTTGCCAGACAAATCCTTCCCAGAATCGGAAGGGTCTGCAGGGCCAATCCTGGCAGCAGTCTGAATGGTTGCCGTGAAATTTTGGGGGTTATAAGGATCTACACTATAGAAAGAGTTCCAAAGGTGAAGCCCTTCAGAGTCTTGTTCCAGGTCCGATTCTGACAGCGACCCATCACTATCAAAGCCATCATCCTCAGGTTCCTCGTCCCAACTCTCACCTTCCGAATCCGAGCTGCAGTCCAGGTCACTGGACACCCCTCCCAAAATGTAATCTATCAATTTGTTGCTACAAGCTGGTCTGGCAGAAACCGGAACTTCATCCTCTATGTCCGAAGAGTCAACTACTACACTGGTGTGGTCCTCCTCTTCAGACTCTCTTTCCGCAGGTGACTCGAAAGATGGGCAGCTTCCCCGAGCGAGTGGAGCCTCTTCAATCAACAATTGTAGCTTTTCCTCGGTGGGCTCTTGGGTGGCTCCGGGAGGGGACACAGTCTGTGCTGGGTTATCTGTGCAGTGCTGCGGGTCCACCCGTTGAAGGCTGTGTTCCTCCTCCAGGCTGTGATAGCCATTATCTTGCTCGGGAGTGGGTAACTCTTGCCCCTTGTTAGCCTGAAGGAATTCTAGCCGTTTCATACGAAGATGGTGGATTTCTGGCAGGCCTTCAGTGGACAAAGGTGGACACCTTTGCCATGAAGTTGCCGAGATCTCTGCCCGAAGTGGCTGCGGATGACAACCATCTTCAACCAGGGAGCAGCTCTCTGGGGTCAGCGTGCGGAGATCCACCAGCTGGCTGTTCCGACAGCGCAGCTCCAGCTGGGAAAGGCAGTCCAGGTAGGAGGGGTTCAGTAAGTAGGAAACTACCTTGAAACTGCCTAAGCTCTTAATGTTTAGAGGCCCAGAGAGTGAAGAAGAGTCTAGCTCGCTGTCGGAGAGCAGATGGGCTTGAAGACTGCCGTGGAACATCTGCACTCCCCACGGCTGCTGCTCCAGGAGCAAAGTGTGTGCTGCAGAGTCCAAAGCTCTGCCCTGGCCTTTAAGTTTCAATTCCAGGTCTGAGGATGAGCACTGCCATTGGAGTCCCCCCTCTAGCCAGTCAAGGGGGCTGTCAACCAAGCCGTCTGAAGGGTCCAGCCGCAGGGAACTCAAAGATTTCTGCACTGCAGGGGTGGCTGACCCCTGCCGCCCTCTCCAGGGTCTCAGGGCGCTGTAGCTTCCGGCGAAATCCAGCCACCTGGTCGGAATCAAGCCACCGAAAAGCTGGCTCCAAATCAGCAGCTTCTGGAGCAAGCTAGGGAGCAGCGCAAAGAGCAGGGACAGCAATCTGGACCAGCAGCTAGTCCGAGGCTCGGGCAGGGCGGTGGAAGCCAGGGTGGGATCTCCGGGGTTTTCCGGAGCGAAGTCGGGAGAGCGTACGTGCGATCGCCGGCCGAGGAAGGACAGCTGGAGCCGGGAGCCCCAGCGCGGGCCAGGCCGCTTCCGAGTCCCGGGAGTACCCGGCTCCATCGCTTCTCCTCGTGGTTTCTCGAGTCGGTGCGCAGAGTTCACGGAGGCCTACACAGCCTCGGCCTCGCCAAGCGGCGGAGTCGGTACAGCAGGCCGACCCCCTCGCCGGCAGACAAGCCTCAGAGAGCGGCGGCTTCCGCAGCGGGCGGCGTGGCGCAGGGCCCGGCGGCGCGCGCAAGAGGCGGCGGCCACGGCTACGTCCATCGCGGCCGGGAATCCGCCGGCCGAGTGTGCGGAAGCCGCTCGGCCACAGACCGGCCTAGCGACCGCGGCGCGGAGGCCTACGAGGCCCAAGATGGCGGCAGGCTGAGGCAAGCGGAACACCCGGAAGCCGCCGGACCAGACGGAAGACGGACAGCATCTGCTCCGCCCGCCGCACGCCGCCCAACGTCTTTTGTGGCGCCCCCGCCCCCTCCCAACTCCCAGGGGCGGACTTTCCTCACCATTGCGCGCAGCCGCTGATTGGTCGCGCCTGCGGTCCCCGTAGATTTACTCTTGGTAGAGCCGAAGGCTCGCGGAAGGTTGCATCAGCCGGACTCAGGCTGCACGCATGCGCTGAGTCAGTTCTCTCTGGTCTCCTAGGAGACCGCGCCCTCCACCCTCTGGGTTAAAGGAAGGGTTTAGGGAGATGAGCAGGGTTTCCAGAGAACTTGTGAATTCTCCTGAGCCCTTTCATCAGTCTGTACACTCGGAAGTGCTTGTACTCATATTTGGATATATCAGGCTTCTCGTGTTAAGTGCTAAATAGACCCAACCCGGGACCTTAAATATGACTTGGGCAATGCAATATAAATAACCTACTTGATAAGACAAATCATCCGAAGTGAGTAGTAGGAGTGAAAGATTCATGTGAAAAATGAATCAGTCCTGTGCCCACTGCTTTATAATTTTTAAGTCATTAGCGTTGCCTGGGATTTAACTTTGACCAATCTTTCAGCGCCCACCTGACATACATGTAAATGAAAACTCAGAGTGTCTTATTAGACCACCTTGGGACAAGCTGAAGGATAGAAAGGGAAGGGAGTCCCCACAACTGTTTGCTCTCATGCTTCTCAGCAACAGTGTAGTCAACTCGTATTTACTTCCTGAGCAACCAGAACCGCAGGGTGCAACTTTGTCCTTTGGAAAAAAATTCTCTGATAAATTTAATTGCTATACTACGTATTGCAGAAGTAGGGGGTATTGGTTCCTTTGAAATGGGGTATCATTCTGTAGCCCAGGCTGGCCTTAAACTTGCCACAATCTTGCCTCAGCTCCTCAAGTACCAGCTGATTCTCTCTTGTGAGTTTGGTCTTAATTTACTTTCTTTTTTCTGTTAAAATCTTTTAATCTAAAAACAAAAGAACAAAAACATTCTAATCTATAGGGCTTAGGTCAAGCAACTGTAACAGAGGGAGGGTGATAGACCTAAGAAGGAAGATATTTTAGGGGCCAAAGGAGACCATTGGCTCCTCATAATTTGTTGGACCCCCTTCAAGGAACTCCTTTCTTAGAAATCAAGAGGCCCTCAATTTCTTCTTTTACTGCCCCTTAATATCTTATTACTTATATCTGGAACTATCTTGTTTCTCAATCTTAAGAACTTTAGAAAAATATATTAGTAACGAGTCAGTTTACATAATAAAAAGAGATCTGAGTACACTAATTACTGGGAGTTTCAGTCCATTTGCAAAGTGAGGCTATGGCTGTAATTCCTCTTTTAATCACTGGGTGAGAGAGCTATGTTCCTAATACAGTGCCTGCCAGATAGAGTAGGAGTACAAGCATTAGCTAATATTCCAGTGTTTGACTTCACAGTCCTCAGTTGTTTCCCACTATCTCCAGAATAATGGCTTTCTTCAGCAGGTTCTCCCAGGATGCTCCCCCAGGCTCTTCTGCAGCTTCTCTTCTTGCAAGTTATCCGACAGAGCATTTAACTTAGCATGGCTTCTGGTTTCAGACCTTTCCTTCTGCTGTTTCCTGGCCAGGAAAGTCCTCACTTTTCCATGTGGCACACCTACTCACACTCAGGCTCAGCTGAAAGGTCAGCTTCTGCTTGAGGCCTTCACTGACCCTCCCAGTCAGAATTCATTGATTCTTCCCAACACTGATAATACACAATTCTCTCTGACTGGGCCCAAGCTCCTTGAGGTAATTATTGCCTAGGTCAGGATTTCTCTTCCTCTTCTTCCTCCTCCCTCTCCTCTTCCTCCTTCTCCTCCTCCTCCCCCTCCTCTTCCCTCTCCTCCTCCCTCTCCTTCTCCTCTTTTATTATGCATATGGTACATGCACATGTGTATTGCATGATCACCAATGCATGCCTGTGTGGAGGCTAGAGGTCAATGTCATGTGCCTTCCTCTCACACTTTCCACCTTATTTTTTATTTAATTTTTATTTAATTTTTGTGTGTGTTATACATAAAATCATCTTTATACCCCCTTTCTCCTTCATGCATTCTGTCATTTGTATTAAGGCCTATTATGTAAAGTGTCCTGAGATGTCCCTCGGAGCAAGTTCATCCACCAGGTTTAGTCAGCCTGTCTAGAGTCTCTCTCTTCAAGAAGATCAGCTCTTCCTCACCCAGCAGTAATCAGCTGCCAATAATTCTTTGACTAAGGTTGGGGCTTGCTGTTCATTTCCACAGTTGTGTGCTGGGTTTTTGTCTGCCTAAGTCTGCATGGGTCTTCTGCATGCTGACACCATTGCTGTAGGTTTGTATGAGAAGGGTCCCAGGTATCTCCATATGGTCATGCATCTCCTCCCTGGCTCTTTCCACCCTCCTCTTTCCCAATGATCCCTGAGCCCTAGGTGGGTGGACCTCAATATAGAAGACCTGTCCAAGGCCCCACACTATGTGGACTCTTATTCTTTACGTTCATCTTATGTATTTTTAAATATTTATTTACTTTAAAAATATTTTTATGTATATGAGTGTTTTTATGTAGAGTCATGTCTATGTGTACCATGAGTGTACAGTGCCCATGGAGACCAGAAGAAGGTATCAGGTTTCCCTGAAACTGGAGTAACAGGTGGTTGTGAGCCTCCATGTGGGTGCTGGGAACAAAACTCTGGTCCAGAGAACCAAACTCTGATCCTCTGGAAGAGCAGTCAGTGCTCTTAACTGTTGAGCCCTCCAAGCCCCTTATTCTAACTCTTTTTTAAAAACATTTTTTATTTATTATTTTTATTTTATGTGTATAAGTGTATTGCCTGCATGTATGTGAGTGGACATGTGTCGTGCAATGCTGCGGAAGTCAGAAGAGGGCTTCAGATTCCCCTGGAACTGGAGTTAAGGACAGTTCATAGCCACCATGTGGGTGCTGGGAATAGAACCCAGGACCTCTGCAAGAGCAGTCAGTGCTCTTAACTGCTGAGCCATCTCTCTAGCCCCTTATTCTCACTTTTAATGTGAGAATAATGAAGCTCCCGGCCAGCTTTTAAAGGGAAGCCTCTCCTTCCTTTTAAGGCCCCATTATATTTAAATTTTTTCATATATTGCATTGTTACTGTCTACTGCTTGCCCTTCCACCTCCTGGCCCAAAGGCCCAACATGACCCCAAGGCCCTTTTTTTTGGTCTTTTTATTTTATTTCTTTTTTATTTTTTGACACAGGGTCTTCCTGTAGCCTGTAGCCCCAGCTGGCCTGAATCTCACTATGTAAAACAAGCTGGCCTTGAACTCACAGAAATCTGCCTGCCTCTACCTCCCAAGTGCTGGGATTAAAAGCATGCACCACCAAACCTGGCAACCCTAAGGCCCTCTAATTCTAATAAACCTTACTGAGGGGACTTGTGTCTTCTTCCTTTCCAAACCAACCACTGCTGCTCACCTTTTATTACAAGAACCTTCCTTATGACCAAACTGTTAGGGTTCCAAACAGCAGCAGTTTCCCCCCTCCCCAACAGGGACCTCACCTTGACCTTTGAAGTCAAGGGAAACAAACTCTGCTGAGAAGCAGCCTGCCTTTCCTCTGACCTCCAAAGATAAGATAAGCAGATTCTACCTGATAACCAGAGATTTTAGAAGCTGTTTATCATAACAGCTTTTCTCTTTTCTTAAAAGGAAAAAAGTAAACACTTCCAGACCCTAATCCTACCTGCTTTTTCTGCTTCCCCCAGGCTTTTCCTGCTTCCCCCTCCCTGATTTCTCCCCCAAACATTCCCCCCTTCCACACCCTCAAGCCCCTATATATAAAGTCCCAGCTCACAACCCATGGACTGACATCTTTCCCTGACATCTTTCCCTTCCCTGACATCTTTCCCTTCCCTTCCCTGACATCTTTCCCTTCCCTTCCCTGACATCTTTCCCTTCCCTTCCCTGACATCTTTCCCTTCCCTTCCCTGACATCTTTCCCTTCCCTTCCCTGACATCTTTCCCTTCCCTTCCCTGACATCTTTCCCTTCCCTTCCCGCCACGCACACTCTCTGCAACATTCCTACCTATCACAAACTTCATATCCCTTTTTTTTTTTTAAAACCTCCTTTTGGTTTATTTATTTTTATGTGTATGGGTGTTTTACCTGTTTTGCCTATTGTATGTAAGTGCACCACATGTGTGTAATGCCCACTGAAGCCAAAAGAGGGCTTCTGATCCCCTGGAACTGGAGTTACAGGAGGGTTGTTAGCCTCCATATGAGTGCTGGAACCAAACCTAGGTTCTTGACAAGAGTAGTCAGTGCTTTTAACCACTGAGCCATCTCTCCAGCCCCCATACCTAATAGTCTACTCTCAATTTTTTCAGTGAGTTAAACATGCTCCTAAAAACAATGTGTTCTTGTGCCAGGTATAGTGGCACATGCCTTTGATCCCAGCACTCAGGAGGCAGAGGTAAACAGATCTCTGTGAGTTCCGGGCCAGCAGGGATACACAGTGAGACCCTGTCTCAAAACAAAACAACAACAAAAAAATTTTCTTATAACTTTCTTGAATGGAGCCTAAGGATGTAGCTCAATGGCAGAACATTTCCCCAGCAATTACAAGCCCTGGGTTTGATCCCCAGCATTGCAAAAGTAAGTAAAAACTAACAAAACTTTCTTGAACGGGCTTCCTCTTCCC